GCCTGTCCCATGCTGCGGGTAGGTCGCAGCCCTCTGGGAACCTGTATATCGGGGGCCTTCTGTCCCCCTGCACTTTCTCTGGACACTTGACTTTAGGAAAAGGAGATGCGTGTTAGAAAGTAAACTCATTTCATAAAACAGGTGTATTCGCAAGGTTTACCCAGGGCCAGGCCCTGCCTTTCTGAGACGTGAGGTCGTGATTTCCCCGAGGCAGGTGCGGTGCTGTGTCCTGCATGGGCAGTGGGCAGCAGACTGGATGCTCATCCTCCCACACAGAGGGAGGTGTTCTGCGCCTTGGCTTGGCTTACCTCTCAGTTGACCAGAGTGCTCACTTCAGCTGTTTTCCTACTTACTCCACTTTGAGGTGTGGACAGCTGATTGGCCAAGTATCTGAAACCCACCTGCTTCTCGGGAGAAGGGTCTATGAGCTCGGGCCTGTGTAAAACCACTGCGTGAGCATCAGCAGCATACATTAGCCTGCACGGTGTAACCCGGCTCTTCTGTTCTGTTCTGGAGGGACTGCTTTTGGGCTGGGGTAATAGGTGTTCCCTACGAGCCAGCGCACGGGAGGTGGGGGCTGGGTCTGCCCTGGCTGTCGTGCACAAGTTTGAGCACTCAGTAACCACCTGGAGGACGCCGGCCGGTGTCCTGTCAGCTTGCTCTGTTTAAATCTACACCCTTTCTTTCCATGTTAAAATATTAAAAGAGCGAATCCAGCAGGTGGCATAGCGACTAAGGCGCTGGGTTCCCACGTGGTTGACTGTAGTTGGAATCCTGGACCCAGCGGCTTAAAACTCATACCAGATGTGCGTGTGTGCCCCAAATCCCGAGAGGAGCTTAGAGAAGGGATTATGGCATGCCCGTCCCCTCTAGGCAATGGTTTCTCGCTTTCTTTCTGTTTCTGTGTCTCTGGTGAGCGCATCTGCCCTATAGCAAAAGTCTCTGTTAAAAAAAATTAGAAGATTTTTTTTTAGGTCTTTATTTGCCTCAGGACACGTGTACTGAGGAGGGACAGCGAGAGAGAGAGGCAGGCAGACACAGTGAGGGCACCCCGCAGGAAAGATGGCCACACCGCATTCCTTTCCGCTTTCTTCTCTTGGGGTTCTGGCACGCGTGCCACATACCTGCATGTTTTTCAAGCCAGCGGGTCCAGGACTTAAATCGCACAGCCACGTGGAGTCCACCCACCATTGCCACCACACTACCTAGTGGGCTCAAATGATCTGTTTTTAAAAATCAGATGTTCAGGGGGCCAGCAGGTGGCATGGTGGTTAAGACGCTAGACACTCCCACATGGCAGACTGTGGTTCGAGTCCTAGACCTGGTGGCTTGCTTTTTTGCTTTTTGTCTCTCTCTCTCTCTCTCTCTAAATATATATATGTCTCTCTCTGGTCACATTAAAATAAATGAGTGAATGAATAAAATTAAAAACAAAACAAAACTTGCTTTTGGCTGGAACCGCCACCTTCCAGTAGTTCACCAAGATGCTGAACAGAGGGGAAGAAGAGAGGATCCTGACACAAGTCCTCGAGGCCTTTAGAAAACACGGAGGGGCTCCTCTGGCAGCATACATGCACACCTGCATGGAAGGTGGTACTGTAGCCATCCAGGGAATGGGCACTGTTCACAAAGAAACGCCCCACAAATGTGACCATGGCAACACTGAGGCGTCTGCAGTGTCACCAGCATGCTGTGGCATTGTCGTGAACAAGCAGGGTAAGGGCAAGGTTCTTGCCAGCAGGACGAATGTGCATATCGAGCGTATTAAGCCCTCTAAGAGCAGAGAGGGCTTCCTAGCACGTGTGAAGGAAAGCGACGAGAAGGGAGCCAGAGAGAAAGGGGCCTGGGTTCAGCCGGAGCGCCAGCTGCTCCACCCGGAGAAGCCCCTGTGCCGGCCGGGGGAAGGGGCCTGAGCTGGAGCCTGTTCATGTGGATCCATGGCGTGATGGGTGTTAAAAATAAACCCATCTGTGGTCTGTAAGCATGTCTGCCTTAATTGAGTAGAATTGTATTCCTTCCCAAAGCTAATTTTTATTGGGCTCTAATTCATTTTGCAATATCTTTATTCAAATTTGGTATTTTTTTACCTGAAATATGTTAGGTGGCTTATGCAACAGACAAAACTCAATTGGTCAGGGGAAAAAAAACTTAAAAAAAAAAAAGAGGCGTTCAGGGGCCAGCAGACGGCGTAAAGGCTATGTCCCTGGGCTCCCACATATTGTAACACGGTTCAAGTCCAGGGTCCAGTGGCTTAAACTCATGTATGTGCCCAACTTCCTGAGGAGAACGGAGCCGAAGGGACTGCAGTGTGGCCATCCCCCCCGGGGGGGGGTGATTTCTCACTTTCTGTTTCTGGCGAGCGCATGCGCCCTATACCAAAACCTCTCCAAGAAAAGAAAAAGTAAAAAAGAAACTCAGATGGGGCGCGTGTGTACATACCCAAGATCCCAGGGAGAGAGTGGAGGAGAAGGGATTGCCATGTGGCCACCCTCCCTGGGGGTGGTTTCTCACTTTCCCTCTCACTCTCTCTCTCTCTCTCCAGTGAGAGCATGTGCCCTAAGACAAAAAACTTAAAAACAAAGAAAAGAAAAGAAGAATGTTCAGTGTCTGCTTTCTTTCCCAAATGGGCCTCCCTTAAGAAATGCAGCGCACAGGGCCTAGAGGGTGAGGCGCTGGGCCTGACGTGGCCAGCCGCAGTTCCGGTCTCAGGGCATGTGTGCATGTGCGCCCAGAATCCTGGGAGGAGAATGAGGGGTTGGTGGCATAGCCGTTCCCCTGGGCTGTCTCCCTCTCTCTGTCTCTGTCTCTGTCTCTGTCGCGCTCGCACACGCCTTGTGGCATAAGAACAAGAAAGGCGTGCAGCAAATGGCTGACAGCCTCTGTCCGAGAGCTCGCCTGGCTGTGGAAAGTTCATGACGCTCTCTCCTAGGATCCATTTTAAAATAGTTTACGACTAGATCTGTAGGCTGTAAACTGGGGGTGGTCATGTTAAGAAATAGGGCGAGGCGTGGCTGCTTGCAGAACCCCCGGGCACCCTGGCCTCATGCTGGCCTGCGATTCCTGGGGAGTATAAGAAGGCAGGTGTGGGATGCCCCCCTGGGCCGTGGTGAGGGATTCCAGTGTGGCCCCAAACCGGAGGTGTCTGCGACCCAGGCCCCCAGTCCCCAGCTCGGGTCAGGCTCCCTTCTCTCGGCAGGTGTGCAGAGCCCCGGCCCCCCTGCCGTGTCCGCGAGCTCCGAGTGCTGCTCATGTGGTTGGGACAGTGCAGAGGCGCCTGCCCTGGCGCCAAGCAGAGCACCGCGGGGGGTGGGGGGAGCTCCTGGCTGGCTCACAGGACAAGAAGGGTCAGGAGGTCCTGCCGAGGAGCTAGCCTGGTCCCCCTTCGCCCTGCTCTAGTAGGGCTGCAGGTCTGCAAGATGCCTCCAGTAGCCAGGGGCACCGAAAACAGCGTTCACACCCCTTACCTGTCATGTGGCGCGGGCCCAGGGCCGCCTCCACCAGAGAGCCCCACCCAGGAAAGCACCTGGATGACAGGTGCGCAGGTGACAGGTGTGCGGCCAGTCTGCAGGGTCTGAGCTGGTGCAGGGTGGACAGTCGGGAAGGGGTCTTCTGGAAAACTCCACCGCGGGGAGACTGGGGTGCCAGCTTAGTTACCTACTTGGTGGTCGGTGGGTAGCTGAGACGGGTCTGGCCACGTGGGCCAGTCCTGAGAGCGGGGAGTCTCATTTCGGCGCAGTCTCCTTGGCCTCCCTGTCTCCGTTCCGTTTGTGGGTGTGGACAGGGCATGCCCCTCTGCACCAGGCAAAGTGGTGCCTGCTCACTAGTCACCTCGCTACCCTTCTGGCCCCGCAGTTTGTCCCCACCAGCAATCTGAGTCAGCGGTCTACCCTCCGCCTGCACCCCTGCTTCCTCCTTTGCCCAAACCACCACTGTGACACCACCTCCGTGGGACCTGCCAAGAGCCTTCCCGTCTGTGTCCAGGGACCTTCGGTGGGAAGCGGCGTTCCAAGCGGTGGTCGCGGTGCCCTCGAGCTGCTTCATGCCCGCAGCCACACGGGGCAGTGTGCACTGCTGGTTTCCCGGTCCATGGTGACTCCATGTGTTCAGCAGAGAAGGATTTCACGTGTTAGCGTGTGTTGGCTGGAAGCAGCGGCCACCCTTAGGCACCAGCACTGGCGAGGCCACCTGGGGCTGATTCTCATGTTTCTCTCTCTCTCCAGCAAGTACAAGATTTTTGGAGAGAGATTTTTGCTATAGGGTATGTGCACTCACTGGAAAGGCAGAGACAGAAAACAAGAAATCACCTGCCGGGGGGGTGGCCACACTGCAGTCTTGACTCCTCCGTTCTCCTCTCGGCATTTCGGGCACATGCGTAGCCATGCACAGTGTGAGTTTTAAACCACCGGGTCTGAGACTCGAACCACAGTTGACTACGTGGGAGACCATCGATGTAACTATTATGCTATCTGCTGGTCCCTATTTGTGTGTTTTTATTTTGAAAGGAATAATGCATACTAAGTGGTATTTGCATCTTCGTTTAAAATCTTTAAGACCCAAAACATGGGGGCCAGCATGTGGGCGTGGCGGTTAAGGCATTGGGTTCCCACATGACCGGCTACGGGGCCTGGCAACTGGCTTTCTCACTTCTCTTCTCTCTGCCTCTGTGTCTCTGCCTCTCTCTGGCAAGCACATGTGCCATGTAGCAAATTTTAAAAAGCAATAACAATAAATAAACTTAAGGAAAGAAGGACCCAAACATATTTGTGAGCTTATTTTTTGAAGGACAGTGCAGACCACGTGTCCTAAAGTCCTGTGACCCCGTCCCCTGTCTCTGGCTGGTCTCAGCGAGGTGCTCGCCAGCCCTCAGTCGGAGGCCACAGCTGTGGCTCCATCTGAGCCTGTGGTGCATGCTGCGGTGCCCTTGAGCGGGAGGTGGTGTGGGGCGCGGGCGCGGGAGGCACTGAGCACGGCAGGCACTGAGCACGGCTTCCCTCCTCCAGGTGCACGCTCAGGTTCCCGAGCACCAACATCAAGATCACCTTCACCGCCCTGGCCAGTGAGAGGACGGAGAAGCAGGAGGCGCCCGTGTCTCCGGTGCAGCCGGCGCAGCCGCACATCTCGCCCCTGACCATCCACATCCCGGACACCATGGCTCACCTCCTCAGCCCCCTGCCCTCCCCCACGGGGACCATCAGGTACAGTATGCAGCTGGGCCCTGGCCACAGCTGGCCACAGCGCCGGCCCCAGGGACACCCTGTGCCGCGGGCCCTCCCCAAGCTGAGTGCGAGGCGGGTGCAGGAGCTGCTCCGGAGCTGTGGCACCTGCGACTTGCTCCCTGCCGATGGCTGTGGGTCCCAGGTGCCCAGGGGGGCAGGTGATTTCTCAGGCCACTTCAAAGTCTGATATGTTTTATTTGGGATTTGGGATTTTGTAGTTGGCTACATTTGTATAAATCCTGAAAACGTAACTCTTGGGTTTGACTGTATTGAAGCCACCAAGGGCGCTCTCGCGGTGCTCTTCCAGCGTGCGGGGGTCTGCCTGGAACCTGGCCCTGAGGGCTGTGCCCGTGGGGTGTCCCGGGGAGAGCAGTCTGCAGCCAGACCGGTCAGGCCGGGGGTGGGTGACACGTGGTCCCCAGGACTACAGGCAGGCTCAGACTGGCCTGCCATGCCCTGCTGGGTCTTAAGCAGGATGGAGGATGCATTTGGGCACCAGTAATTCTCGTCTCCGAGATTAGCTCTGCGATGTGGATGTCGTTGACGTGGGACTTCGGTGCCAGACGGACACATTTGTTCCCTGCAGGCACAGGCTTCTGCAGCGTCTGTGCAGTTTGCAAAGCCTGGGGACAGGCAGGGAGGCTGGTGCCTGGTCTGCCCAGTGCTGACTGGGAGGAGACTGGGCAGCTCTGGGCTACGGCTTTGTCACTTGCTTATCTTCTTTTCTTTTTTTAAAGAATTATCCTACTTAACTTTATTTATTTTTATTTGACCGGGGGGGGGGAAGGGGAAAGAGAGAGAGCGAGGGCCAGTGAGCCAGTGAGGAAGCAAGTCGCCAAGTCTGAGACTCGAACCACACTCGGCCATGAGGGAGTCCAGTGCCCTAACCACCACGCCACCTGCTGAGTGTCACTTGCTTATCCTCAAACACACCGCCGGTGCTGGGCCTTCTGTAACTGGAAGAGGCACGAGTCAGTGGAGACAAAGCCTGCGCTCACAGGCTAGGAGGCCACACCGTCAGGGTGTCAGCTCTGGACCAGTTGCACGGATCGTGTCCTGGACCTGGGCGCGTGTGTGTGTGCCCAGGACCCTGAGAGGAGCATGGAGGAGAGGGAAGTGCAGGGTGGCCATCCTCCTTGGCTGTGACTCATCACTGCCTCGCTCTGCCTCTCGGACAAGTGCGTGCACACCACGGCCATCTTACACGGACAGGAGAGCGCGGCCTTCCCGGGAGCTGGGGTGCTGCTGCTGCAGTCCTTTTTGCCTCCATTTGTCCATCCTGTCAGGGTTCTGGGCACGCACACATGTGCCTGGTGTGTTTTTCTAGCCATTGGGGCCAGGATTCAAGCGGCAGTCAAGAGGGATCGGGCTCCCTCTGTCCAGCACCGACACTGGGCTGGGCTTCCCGCCTG